TCATTGGGGGTCTAACTCTTTTTCTCTGTTCCTCCCACTTCACCAATCGGTAGAAAAAGCCCATCATAGAATATAAGCAAGGAGCCCTTAAGGTATAACAGTTAAGTGCCTGGCTGATATCCCATAAGCTGGTCATTCAAGTCCACTCAGTGTCTTTGTGGGAGAAAGATCTGGCGATTACTTCCATAAAGATTGTTGTTGTGAAGTGTCATCGAGTCGATTCTGACCCATAGCGACCCTGGATAGGGTTTCCTAGGAGCAGCTGGTGAGCCTGAACCACCGACCTTGCAGTTCAAATGGCTTTTCAGCCTGGCGCATTAACCCACAGCACCACACCAGGACTCCTCCATAAAGATTATTAACTAGAGAATGCGATGGGATAGTTAGACTGCCACAGGGGGGAAGCTATGAGCTGGAAATCGCCTGATGGCACACAACAATTAACAACAAAGAATACAGCAGAAACTGATGATCAGTTAAGGGTTTAAAATGTGAAAAGCATGGATGAAGGTTTAAGTAAGGAGAACATTCCACACTGATGCTTCAATAGTTTAATCATTTTTAGAAACATTCTGATACAGTAAAGCAAGAGCAAATACTAAAATACATTTCCATTTAAAACACAGATTTGTATTTAGCAAGGAAGACATCATTCTGTGACGGTCAAAGGAAAATATAGTCAACGTTATCAACAGGCAATAATGTTCCCATCCTAGTTAGCGGAAATTTTTACGCAGGGTCTGGACAAAGAACTGGATTAGCACTGGTTTGAATATGGAAAGCTGGGAGAATAGAGGGTGCAGAAGAGGTCTTACAAAATTAGGGATGTAGTAAAATATAAACTAAATGGTGTAGGAAGAACATAAACCCAGGTAATCTCAGCGGATGTACCTTAAGTGAAGTATTGATAAAGTAAGGAGAAACGAAATTTCTAAGGAAAGTTAAGGACAAATGTCTGCTCCTTAAGGCACTGGAAGGGATAGATGTGAGTAATGAGGATTATACTGACATATAACTACAGATCTGGAACAATGTCATATGCTCAGAATGTATCCTTGGACATTTCCCCTCAAATATGTAATAAACGTAGGACATTAAAAACAGGCTTACCACAGAGACAAATGAAGGAAGGTTTAGTAAAGGAAGACCTTGGAGTAACATCTAAAGTAATGGATTAATTGACAGGCAGAAAGAAAAAACAACCTAGCAATTTATTAACGGTAGTCACCTGTACAAAGGATCCTCATTAAATGTGATTTCTATTTTACAGAGAAAAATATACAAGCTGCACATGATTTGGTTTTAATTTAACTGAGACCTTCTTGGTAGTGACTACTTCTTAAGAGTGGAAGAATCGCCCAAGTCAGTGTGGGAGCTTTGCTCTTTGAATGTAAGACAAATAGGCCCTAAATGGTTGTCTGGTAGCGGGGCAGAGATAGCCACATCAACTTTGCTCCCAGTCAAGTACCTAAGCTATTTTCTCAAGTTGATACTATCTGTTCGCTAACTCAGAGGCAACACCACACACCTACTGTGAGACTGGAGTTCTCCTTGGGGTTATCAATTACTCAGACAGTCTTCAGCTAAAGGCCTGCAGATGGTTCAATTCAACCCTGACATGAGGCATGTATTCCTGTCAACTTTACTGTAACTGAGGAAATTCTCATCAACAGAGAATTTTGTAAAATAAATTGCTAACTGCTCCTACTGTGAAGTATCACTGACAATTCGATGATCGGAGTAGGCAGGCTTAAAAATACATTGCTTGTACTGTATTATTTGGTTACATTGTTTTTTTATACTATGTCAGTTAATAATTATGAGTGGCATATGGGTTTTATTTAGCTAAATTCTAGAAAAGTTGAAAGATACTTTTTATTCACTTTAACTAAGCCTAAAGTCATTTACTGGCTGACTTTTTGCATTTCTGAAAGGTTGTCTTATAGTTTAATAACCATTAAGAAACTCACACTCATGGAGTCCCCAAGACTACGGCCCATTGCCATATTCAAGACCTGGAACTGAACTCACCCCCGTAGTTCAATTTCCAGCCAAATAAGACAGGTCTATATACTGTGAACAATAACATTGGAGAGGTACTTACTCACTCCTTAGAACAATTAACCATTCGAGATTAAAAGGGCAGAGTTGGCCCAAGGATGAGGTTCAGCAAACAGGAAAATGTTAGAAAATGAAAATGGGGACCCTAAGGTAGAAATGGGCTAAGTGATGTTACATTATGGGGATTGCAATCAATGACATGAACCAAAATGTGTATGGATTCTTGAATGGAAAACGGATTTGCTCTGTTAACCCTCACCCACTTCACAATAAAAAAGAAAAACAACAACAACAACAACAAATCTTAAGAACAGGAAATCTTGGGAGAACTGGTAAAAGGGGTCAAAAGAAAAATCTGAAGACATTTCTTCCTTTTTTATTTGTAAGGGTAGCTTGAATTGATGATTAATCTTATACTGCTAAATTTAATTCTGGAATATTCTGACAAGTAGATAGGTTGGATAATTATTTGCTCACTATTTGTATGTTATGAACTTTTCGTTTATTGTTAATATGATAAGAAGGGGGGAAATTCCTAAATGCAATCCATGGATCTTTTTATATAAAGATCAGTGGATTTATTTGGATTATATATAAAGAGAAAATCACATATAAAGAGAAAAGTTAAAGCTGCAATAAATATAGAAAAGTTGAGTCTGACGAGAAGGGCTTCAAAATCAAGTATAATCTTTTCATTCCAAGATCACCTGGAATAATTTAACAGAGAGTGATTTCCCATATACCAAAACACTGAAGCTCTTCTAAGGATCTGGGCTATCTCATTTTTCCTTACTGGCTGATTCATACAGCAAGCATTTATGTTAGCAAATAACTATTTATAAGTGTGGTAACATATCAGATCATCTGAAAGGTGGAAGAAGAAAAAAAAAAAAAAAGCCTTTTGTTTGCTGCCAGGAAGCTGTGAGGATCAGATCTGCCTTTGTTTTGAATAATTGTTTGGCAAAACTATCACAACTATTTGGAAGAAATAATCAATAAGCAACTGCTGGCCAGTCGATTCTGACTCTTAAGGACTCTCCAGGACGGAGTAGAACAGCCCCTAGGGTTTCCAAGCCTGTCAATAAGCAGACCATCACATCTGTCTTCCTTGAAGCGGCTGGTAGATTTGAACTGCCAACTTTTTGATTAGCAGCTGAGTACTTTAATCATGGTACCACCAGGGCTCCTTGAAGATATAACAGATGTAGGTAAAATAAAGGATTCCACAGTATAAGAAATTTTGACATGTTTTGTCTGTGGCTCAGAAATTAAATCAATCCCCAAATTTCAAATTCCACTAAAATATTTATTTGATGGTATCTTACAGAAATAAATAAGAACAGTTCCTTTAAAAATACAGGTTAGTATATTTATATTTTCTCTTTCTTTCATTATTTTTTAAACAAAATTCAAGCATATCAAATAGGTTTCCCTAAAATTTTTGTTTAGAAAGGAATATTTCTAAACAAAACAAATGCTTAAGTCATCTCATTATTTAAATGATACCCATGGGCCCGTTTAATCTCACTCAGCATGACATAAGACTCGGTACAAGAACATGAGATTTGCAGGCAGAGAACCTGGGCTCCAGTGTTTACTTGTAACATTCGCAACATTGCTGAACCTCAGTTTCTTTATCTGTAAAATAGGAATGGTATCAATGACATCAACTTCACAAGCCTATTGGGAAAATTAAACACATGAATGTCCAGGAAAGCTCTTTATGATATAGAAAGAGCTACAAAAATAAAAATTATATTCAATTTCATATAAAAGAACCGATGCATATCTCCCTTCAGCTGAAGAGCAAGCACCAGAAACGTGTGTGTGTTTTCTTCAGCTGAATGATGTCACCCTATAAACCTAGAGTAAGAAAATGCACCTTTACTACTAAGCACCAAAGGCTCTCGGACAAACAGGATCCAGGGCATATTTCTATTACAGTTCTCTGGGCAGCTATGTAGGAGCTAATGAGTCCTGAGAGCCAATGAAAACTCTCAAGGCTCAAAGAACACAGGCACAACAAGAAGGACATTTGGATTACACTGTATGGCTAAGGTACGACAAGCAGTTCCTTATTTAACAATTTCAAAGTCTAGTTATTCTTCACAGAAGAAGAAACACTCTGTTATTATCACTTGCAATTATTTGCTTATGTGACCACGGCATTCTCTTGTTTCAAAGACCAAATACTAGTCAAGGACAGTTCACCTGGAATAAAATCAACGCTGTCACAAGTTTCAATACGAGTGGTTAAAAAGTATAGTTATACATGAACATGGGAAAAGAAAAGCATTCAAGACATCAGTTTAACAGTAACAAAAAACCCGGCCATATTTCCATGTTATAATGATAAGACCCAAAATCATAAAAATTTTCATTATTTACAGATACGTCAATCTTAAGTCATGTAAAACCTTAGTAAAAAAAATGAAAAGTACTCTTAAGTCTCCAGGTTACAAATGTCCGACTTTAGGACAATTTACAGTTGCTCTTTAATGATACATAAATTTGTCCCCAGTGAAACACGATGGAGCCAAACCCTATTCACAAAGATCCCTTTATCACGATCACCTCCATTTTCTGCGTCTTCTTTCAAACCAATGAGGAGGCCTTGAGCCTTTTCTACTAAAGAAAGGCTAAATAAGAACCACACGCACCTGCTCAGACTTAACTACAAATTCAACTTAGAGACACACTTAGGAACAAAGGATCTTATTTGTAACTCAAAGACCGCCTGTCGAAATACCAGCTTAGATAATTTTAAGATAAAATTATACTTAAAATGCTAAAACTCTTAAAAATGCTATTTAGAATTAACAACTTACACTGGTATCACTTAATATATAATGAAAATATTAAAAGCTTTCAGTATTTTGATTTTTAGTAGCAAGATACTAAGAAAAGAAATACTTTCCTGCCATTAGCTTATTGTTAGGAGATATAGTCTAAACATACTAGAATAACTCGGAGTTAATGTAATTTATCATCTACTTAACACATGCAAGATATTGATGACTTATGTGCTAAAGATAATGAAGGCCCTTCCTAAAATGGGCCTATATACCCGGTCATATAAAACTAGATAAGTGTACTTTCTCTCTATTCCAACTCTTTAAAAGATCTTACCAAACAAAAGGTACACATTACCTCTCTTCATTCCTTCACCTCATCAGATATAGATATTCTTTGGAACAAAAATAAATGTTTTATTACAGAGTGAAAAATTGAAAACCTTAAAGATCTTTTGGAAACTTTATATTGAAAAAAACTCAAGAACGACTTGGACACTGTACAGTCAGAAAGAGAACCAAATCCAATCAACAACAGTGTTTACTGACATCTACCGGCATTTCGATTTTACTTGCAACGTTGCTCTACAAGCTGTGACAGTTCATGGAGACAGTACAGTCGGGACTGAATCAAGTGCACTTCACTCCATGTCTTCAGTCTCTTTGGTGAACAGGTCGGCCAGATCTGCTACGGTCAAGGCGGAGGCCTCCGAGTGCTTCACGGATGAGCTCGTGTGACTGCAAGGTTTCCCCAGTGCCCAGCATCAGAAAGAAACACCCCGAAATAAAAAATAATGTAAGTCTGGCCACTTTATCTCTTCCCATGTTTTTGTAACTAGATCCCAAGACATCCCCGAAAGAAAGGAAGTGACGAGACGCCCATTACATGACATCAAAATTGTACAGATTTCTATATATCACTAGCAGTCTTGGTGATAAAAGGGCTTTTCTTTCCTGTGTGACTGATAAAACAAAGAGTTCTCTTGCCAACTGCTTTTCATGCTTCCACCTCACGAAAGATTTCAACAGCTCTTCAAATTACTATTTTGTTGAAGCAGCTTAAAAACCACTGGGCTCTGTCACTCATGGAAGAGCAGCCCACAGCCTTGTTTCCTGCTATGCACAGTACCTCAGTGGAAACCATGCCCTCTAAGGCAAGAGTGTTTCTCTTGGGTATCTTCTACTCATGGCTTACGGGATAGAGTAAAGCATTGGGCTATGTGTTTAAAACGACTTTAAATAAACAAATACTAATAACAAATACTGAGAAGTTGATGATGCAAACTAAAGTTTGTTCAATTAAAGCTATTCTGGTCTCTCTGTTTCTGCTTTATCTTTGGGATGAAGACCACAATAACGTGCTAAGTTTTAAGTCCTAATCTTCCTGTTTGAAAGAAATTATCAATGAGAGTGATGCATGAAACAGAAACACAAGTTTTGTTTCACACATAACAGACTAAGGCTTCCAGGCTGGGCAGAGAAATACTTCACTTAGAGACATGCAAGCTTTTATTTTAAATGGATTTACATACTAAAAACCTACAAATACATGAACGTGAGTCAAATGTAGAATAAGTGTGGAAATAAGAATAAAACTGAAAAGGTAAAATGTTCACACCTTGCCTTTAAAAGTATTTGTTCTTGTATCTTTTAGCTGACTAAGGAGTCATTTAAGCGAAGCTCCTACACACACACACACACACACACACACACAC